CAATAATAATCAAATTCTGCCTTTTGTAGGTGTGGTATCATTTCTCTGAGTATGTTTTTTTTTTTTTTTTCCCTTATCTTTAGGGACTGCGTTAACCTTTTTTCTTTGTGTTGTAATAAATAGTAACAGTACATTTGCCATTTCTGAAATCTTCACATGTACAGTTCAGTGACATTAATTTTGTTCATCACACTATTCTACCATAACAATTAACCATTCCTAGATATTTCCTTCACCCTTAACAGAAACTCATTGTCCCCTAAGCATTGCTTTTTATTTTTTAGGTCCCTGGTTTGATATGTACTTAGCTGCTCGAGATCCTGTTGTCCTGAACTTTAATCCATTTATTGCGTTCCATCCTGACCCAAAGTCTGAATATAATGACCAGGTCACACGAGCAACCAACATGACTATGTCTGCCATCCGATTTCTGAAGACATTCCAGGCCAGCCTTCTGGAGCCAGAAGTGTTCCACCTGAACCCTGACAAAAGTGACACTGATACCTTCAAGAGACTAATACGCTTTGTCCCTCCCTCTCTGTCTTGGTATGGTGCCTATTTGGTCAATGCATATCCCCTGGATATGTCCCAGTATTTTCGGCTTTTCAATTCAACTCGTATACCCAAACCTGGTCAGGATGAACTCTTTACTGATGACAAGGCCAAACACCTCCTGGTCCTAAGAAAAGGACATTTCTATGTCTTTGATGTCCTGGATAAAGATGGGAACATTGTGAGTGCAGCAGAAATCAAGGCTCATCTGAAGTACATTCTCTCAGACAACAGCCCTGCCCCTGAGTTTCCTGTGGCATATCTGACCAGTGAGAACCGAGATGTCTGGGCAGAGCTCAGGCAGAAGCTGGTGAGTGACGGCAATGCAGAGACCCTGTGGAAAGTGGACTCTGCTTTGTTCTGCCTCTGCCTAGATGGTTTTCCCATTAAGGACCTTGTCCACTTGTCCCACAACATGCTGCACGGCGATGGCACAAACCGCTGGTTTGATAAATCCTTTAACCTTATTATAGCCAAGGATGGCACTGCTGCTCTGCACTTTGAGCATGCTTGGGGTGATGGTGTCGCAGTGCTCAGGTTTTTTAATGAAGTGTTTAAAGACAGCACTCAGAACCCTGCCATCACTCCCCAGAGCCATCCAGCTGCCACTGACTCATCTGTTGCTGTGAAGAAACTCAACTTCAAGCTTAATGATGCCTTAAAGACTGGCATCACCACTGCTAAGAGGAAGTTTGAGGAAACCATGAAAACCCTCACCATTGACTGCAGGCAGTTTCACAGAGGAGGCAAAGAGTTCCTGAAGAAGCAGAAGCTGAGCCCTGATGCAGTGGCCCAGCTGGCCTTCCAGATGGCCTTCCTGCGGCAGTACGGGCAGACTGTGGCCACCTATGAGTCCTGCAGCACTGCAGCATTCAAACATGGCCGCACCGAGACCATCCGCCCAGCCTCCATCTTCACAAAGAGGTGCTCGGAGGCCTTCGTCAGGGAGCCCTCTAAGCACAGTGTTGGAGAGCTTCAGGAGATGATGGCCAAGTGCTCCAAGTACCATGGCCAGCTGACCAAAGAAGCAGCAATGGGTAAGGCAGTGAGTGGAGAGCATGCTCTTGGGTCTGGTCGCCCTCAGTGCTTAGGGAAGCTTCAGTAATACTCTTCCCCACACCGATTTCTACCTCTTCACTAGGTTTAACCCATTTTCCAACTCCCCACAAATATTTTTTTTCTACCCAGCAATCTGAAAAGACAGACTAACCATTAGGATTAGACACTTATTCTCTGCTCCTAAGCAGTGATGAAGAAATGCAGATAATTTCATCCCCATTTAAGGTCACTTCAGCTGTGATACACAATTCTCCTTTTTCTATTGTTGCCATTAGAATCATTTTTGACAATTTAGGATTTCTAAGCCCACGGCCACTTTGACTCCAGCTAAGTTGTAAGTGTGTTGGTTCCGTGGAGGTGAGTCATTTCAGAAGTTTTTCCCAAATCTTAGTATCTTCCTTCTTTGACTTTTTGTGATAAAATATGAGACCTAGAAAGACCCTTGAGGATCACATAGTTCAGTCTTTTCATGTAGCTTTAAGTCTTGAAGCTAAAAGACACCTCCAAGACATTCCAGTCTTGTTCTCTATTTTGTAGGTAGGAGCTGAGGCCACTAGCTCAGTGTTACACAGCAAGTTACAGTAAGTCTGAGATTAGAACCTTGGTCAATTACCTTCCCCATTGCCACTGTGACTCAATCTTGTCTTTTTCACTTGATCTGGGTTTTACTGTTTTTGAGTCCATAGTTTTTTCTCTACTTAACTTTTCTTGACTGTCGGATTAAACTGATTTAATTTCAGAATTTTTAAATTATGCTTTCATTTTAGGCTCATTTTTAGGCCAGCTATTGGTGACTTTTTTTTTTTTTTTTTTTTGAGCAACTATTCTAGAATGCACTGCCCCAGGGGTTAGTGAGCTGGAGCTTTGCAAATAGAGTTCCAAAGATGTTTCTTCCACTCTCAAGGGTGCTGTGGAGGAGATGCCCGCTATGGATGGGAGGTTTCACTAAGGTCTCTTTGAGTTCTAGCTGCTGAGACTGGTTTTCCATTTTATCTCTGACAGGCCAGGGCTTTGACCGACACTTGTTTGCTCTGCGGAACCTGGCAGCAGCCAGAGGGATCCCCCTGCCTGAGCTGTACCTGGACCCTGCATATGGGAAGATAAACCACAATATCCTGTCCACGAGCACTCTCAGCAGCCCAACAGTGAGCCTTGGTGGCTTTGCCCCCGTGGTCCCTGATGGCTTTGGTATTGGGTACACGGTTCACGACAACTGGATAGGCTGCAATGTCTCCTCCTACCCAGGCCGAAATGCCCACGAGTTTCTCCTCTGTGTGGAGAAGGCTTTAGATGACATGTTTGATGCCTTAGAAGGCAAAACCATCAAAACAGCATCTGGGTAGATGAGATGCCTTGGTAATTTCCTTATGAAAATCAGGGCCTGTGGAGCCAGTAAGTGCTATCCTGTGACTAATGAACTCAATCATGAAGTGATGATTATTAGGCCATGGTACAAGGGTAGGGCTTTAAAGTGATGATTTAAAATCTAAACGTAACTTCTGAATGGGACTAGATCACAACTAAAAATATGGTTTAAGGACATGATCAGAAGGTGGCATTTGAAAAAAAAATGCCCAGGTGTATTTATTGTTTAAGCAGAAATAAAATTGATTGTGGTAGATAGTTACTCTTAATTTTTTTTACCCTAAATTTCCAAATGCCTACAAAGAACTTGCCAACACTAAATTCGGGCATTCTGCCACTTCCATTGGCTTCTGGCTGTTCGGGTGAATGGTGAGAAATAATGACATCTTCTCTATAAACCTCTTCTCTCCTTGAAAAATCTCTTAATTATTAAGGAGTATACTGCTGCTGCTATTTGATTTGCAGTTCTTCTGCAGTGAAGGTTGTTCCCATGGATTTGGGAAGTGCTCCAGCCAATAGGGATTTATCATTGGTGTGTATTTGCTTTAACTAGTTGCATCTCTTGTGCTAATGTTGGCTTGTCTGAGCCAGAAGAGATTTCTGTACGTTTTGCAGTTGTGGAAACCTCTCTATTGAGTGAAATGAACACAGACTTTTTTTCTCTGATTTATCGTTGTTGTTATTGTTGTTGTTATGTGCCATTGAGTCGTCTCCAACTCATAGCAACCTTATGTACAACAGAACGAAACACTGCCTCATCCTATGCCAGCCTCACAATCCTTCCTATTACTGAGCCCATTGCTGCAGCCACCGTGTCAGTCCATCTCGTTGAAGGCCTTCCCCTCTTTCATTGACCCTCCCCCTTACCAAGCATGACATCCTTCTCCAGAGAATGGTCCCTTCTGACTACATGACCAAAGTAGCTGAGTTGAAGTCTGGCCATTGTCTCTTCCAAGGAGCATTCCAGGTACACTTGTTCCAGCACAGATTTGCTAGTCCTTTTGGCAGTCCACAGTACTTTCCGCATTCTTCACCAGCATCACAACTCAAAACCATCAATTCTTTTTCAATCTTCATTATTCATTGTCCAGCTCTCATGTGCCTATGAGGAGATTGAAAATACTATGGCTAGAGTTAGGCATATCCTAGTCTTCAAGGAGATATCTTTGCTCTTTAGTGCTTGAAAGAGGTCTTTTGCAGCAAATTGCCCAATGCAATATGTCTTTTGATGACTGCTGCTTCCATTGGCACTGATTGTAGAACCAAGTAATATGAAGTCTTTGACAACTTCTGTCTTTTCCCCATCTATTGTGATGCTGCTTATTGGTCCAGTTGTGAGGTTTTTGTTTTCTTTATGTTGAGGTATAATCCATACTGTAGACTGTCGTCTTTAATTTTCATCAGTAAGTGCTGAAAGTCATCCTCACTTTCAGCAAGCAAAGTTATGTCGTCCGCTTATCACAGGTTGTTAATAAGCCTGCCTCTAATCCTGATGCCACATTCTTCATATAGTCCAGCTTCTTGGATTATTTGCTCAGCATACAGATTGAGTAAGTATGATGAAAGGATGCAACCCTGACACACTCCCTTCCTGATTTTAAACCATACAGTATCGCTTTGTTGTGTTCAAATGACAGCCTCCTGGTCTATGTACAGGTTCCTGGTCTTGAGTACAGTTGTTCTGGAATTCCAATTTTTCTCAAAGTTACCCATAATTTGTTATGATCCACACAATCGAATGCCTTTGCACAGTCAATAAAACATAAGTAAACATCTTTCTGGTATTCTTTGCTTTCAGCCAAGATCCATCTGACATTAGCTATGATATCCCATGCTCCACATCCCTTTCTGAATCCAGCTTGCATTTCTAGAAGTTCTCTGTCAATATATTGCTGCAACCGTTTTTTAATTATCTTCAGTACAATTTTACTTACATGTGATAGTAATGATATTGTTCTATAATTTCCACATTCTGTGGGATCACCTTTCTGTGGAATGGGTACAAATATGGATCTCTTCCAGTCAGTTGGCCAGGTAGCTGTCTTCTAAATTTCTGGGCCTGGACAAGTGAGTGCCTCCAGCACAGCATCCGTTTGTTGAAACATCTCAATGGGTATTCCATCAATTCCTGGAGCCTTGTTTTTTGCCAATTCCTCAGTGCAGCTTCAACTTCTTCCTTCAGTGCCATTGGTTCTTGATCGTATGCTACCTCCTGAAATGGATGATCATCTGCCAGTTCTTTTTGGTATGGTGATTCTGTGTATTCCATCCATCTTCTTTGATGTTTCCTGTATCATTCAACATAATTGCCCATGGAATCTTTCAATATTGCAATTCGAGGCTTAAATTTTTTCCTCAGTTCTTTCAGCTTGAGAAATGCTGAACATATTCATCCCTTTTGGTTTTCTAACTCCAACTCTTGGCAGATTTCATTATAATAATTGACATTGTCTTCTTGAGCTGCTCTTTGAAATCTTCTGTTCAGGTCTTTTTTCCTGTAGATTCTCCCATTTGCTTTAGCTACTCTCTGTTCTAAGGGCAAGTTTCAGAGTCTCCTCTGACATCCACTTTGGTCTTTTCTTCCTTTCTTGTCTTTTTAATGACCTTTTGTTTTCTTCATGGATGATGTTCGTGATGTCATCCCACAATTCTTCTGGTTTTCGGTCATTGGTGTTCAATGCATCAAATCTGTTCTTTGGATGGTCTCTACATTCAGGAGGGTAAAATCAAGGTCATATTTTGGCTCTTGTGGAGTTGTTTTAATTGTCTTCAGTTTCAATTTGAATTTGCATATGAGCAGTTGATGATCTGTTCTACAATCAGCTCCTGGCCTTGTTTTGGCTGAAGATATTGAGTTTCTCCATTGCCTCTTGCCACAGATGTAGTCGGTCTGATTCCTGTGTATTCTGTCTGGTGAAGTCCATGTGTATAGCCAGCATTTGTGTTGCTGAAAAAAGGTATTTGTAATGACTAAGTCGTTGGTCTTGCAAAATTCTGTCACGCAATCTCCAGCGTCATTTCTGTCACCGAGACCATATTTTCCAACTACCGGTGATTCTTCTTTGTTTCCAACTTTTACATTCCAATCACCAGTGATAATTAACACATCTTGATTTATTGTTAGAACACTGCTATAACATGAAAGGGTTTTTGTGTTTATAATTTTACCCACAATCCCAGAAGCTTTCTCAGGGAGTTAGTGGTACAGCTGGGATTTGAATACTTTTACTGTGATTTCAATTCCAGGGCCTTTTGCACTATAGCTTGCTGCCTTATTTATTCAGATGGAGCCCCTATCTGTGTTGTCGCATCAATTCTGACTCACAGCAACCACATGACAGAGTAGAACTGCTCCACAAGGTTTCCTAGGCTGTAATCTTTATGGGAGCAGATTTTCAAGCCTTTTCTGATGCAGAGCATGTGGTGGGTTTAAATTGTCAACATTTCAATTAGCAGCCAAGCATTTTAAGCATTGCACCACCAGAGCACCTTAGAGCCCCTAAATAACAAACTCACTTTCACCGAGTCAGTACCTACTCAGTGACCCTATGGGAGAGAGTAGAACAACCCTGTAGTGGCTGGTGAGTTCAAACTGCTGACCTTTCAGTTAAAAAAGCCAAAACCAAAACCCACCGCCATCAAGTCGATTCTGACTCACAGTGACTCCCATTGGGTTTTGAAAGCTGTAAATCTTTACAGAAGTAGATTGTCTCATCCTGTTCCCTTTCAGTTGTTGTTGTTGTTGTTATGTGCCGTCGAGTCAAACCCGACTCATAGCGACCCCTCCTTGGGTTTCCGAGGCAGTATCACTACGGAAGTAGGATTGCCCAACCTTCCTTCCGAGGAGTGGCTGGTGGGTTTGAACCGCCAGCCGTCTGGTTAGCAGGCAAGTGTCTTAGCCACTACGCTACCAGAGCTCCCTCCCTTTCAGTTAGCAGCTGAAATTTAACCACTGCTCCAGGGCTCCTTCCTATACAACAACACAAATATAATTCTAACATTTATTGAGCATTTACTCATTTAATCCTTAAAATCCATGTAAACATATCTGCGTGTCTACTTTGCTGACTCCATCTATTTATGTCATAGCATGTATCAGAACCTCATTTCTCTTAATGGTTGGATAATAGTCCACTGTATAGCTATGCCACACTTCATTTATAACTCCAGGTCTTTGCACATTTCAGTATAATGATTTACTTTGTCTTCTTAAGCTGCTCTTTGAAATCTTCTGTTTAGCTCTTTTATTTCAATATTTCTTCCTTTTTCTTTAGCTATTCTTTGTTCAAGACCAAGTTTCAGACTCTCTGACACCTATTTTGGTCTTGTCTTCCTTTCCTGTCTTTTTAATGACCATTTCCTTTCTTCACGTATGATGTTCTTGATGTCATCCCACAATTCGTCTGGTTTTCAGTCATTGGTGTTCAGTGCCTCAAGTCTATTCTTCAGATGGTCTCTAAATTCAGGTGGGATATAATCAAGGCTACATTTTGGCTTTTGTGGACTTGTTTTAATTGTCTTCAGCTTCAACTTGAACTTGCATATGAGCAATTGATAGTCTGTTCCACAGTCAGCTCCTGCCCTTGTTTTGGCTGAAGGTATTGAGATTGTCCATCACCTCTTGGCACAGATGTAGTAAGTCTGATTCCTGTGTATTCCATCTGGTGAAGTCCATGTGTATAGCTCCCATTTATGTTGTTGAAAAATGGTTTTTGCAATGAATAAGTCATTGGTCTTGCAAAATTCTATCATGTAATCTCCAGCATCATTTCTGTCACCGAGGCCTGTTTTCTAACTACTACTCAATTGAATCTTCTTTGTTTCCAACCTTCACATTCCAGTCACCAGTAATAATCAATACATCTTGATTGCATGTTTGGTCAATTTCAGACTCCAGAAGTTGGTAAAAATTGTCAATTTCTTTGGCTTTGGCTTTGGTGGTTGGTCTGTAAATTTGAATAATAGTAGTAGTAACTGGTTGTCTTCGTAGGCATATGGATATTGTCCTA